CTCGTTAGCGGCCTTGTCGTCCGTTTGGATGACCAAGTTCGCTCGATCCAGAATGCCCTGGAATGTGGTATAGTCGTACTCATTACCGAGTGCCGACCGCAATCCCGCGCATGATCGTGAGAAGAACTCGGATCGTTGATTTGGAAATGTCAAGTCGAAGCCTGGTGTGGTCACTATCTTTTGCCACTTCGTTGTCCAGTCTTGAGTTGGCATGTTCCCCTGAGAGCATGTGTACACCTCATTCATGGCCGCCTTCACGACGTTGTGGACCATGAACCGGGTGAACCCTAAGCTCTCGTACTCCTGCCACGTGATGTGCGTGTGGAGTTCGGCGATGGTGCACTTGTGGGTGGCTGCCAAGTGGTTCATCCATGCCTGCGCTCCTCCAATCAGTTGCAAATAGAGTGCCTTCAACATGTCGTTCGCCGGGACAGTGCGGCATGACGCTTCCGTGAGGAAACGTTGCCACCATGTCAAAGCGTCCGACTTGTTGTAGTCGTCGAACTTGCAGATGTCGAAGTGCGGCATCGTGAACATCTTTGTAGCGGCGTCCGGTCTCGTCTGTAGCTTGGTGATGTCTGTCTTGATGGCGGCCACCGTGCTGCTGATCGTGTCCGGTCCGTTGAAAACACCTATGTCGCCGAGGATGGTGACAACGTGATCGATGCGTTCGTTGATTTGCTTCGTCGCGTCCGTCGTGCAGCCTGGCGCTGCTGAGGCCTTGGCCTCAATGCCGTTGATGCGTGTGATGGTAGAGTTCATCAGTTGTTGCTGTTGCTGCTGCTGCATTGCTGCGTCGCGGACGCCGGCCGTTACAGCGGCCAGGTCTTGCTGGTACTGCTGTTTTTGCTGTCGTTTCGTGTGCAGGTGTGCCTGCAGTAGTTTGTTGTTCCACATTACTCCCCTCATTACGTTCAACATCACGGTAGCCAGGTTACTTCTCTCTGCCTCCACCTGTGTCGGCTCCGCCTGCGTTTCCGTAGGCACAAAGATCATGCCTTGGAGTACCGTTGTCCACTGATGCTCACTAGCAATCAGGGACTCCGTGCTGGCGGCATTCCGTCTGTTTCGTGCCGCTTCGTCAGTCTCAGCTGTCCGCTGAGCTTCGGTTGCCGCCTCATTGGCCAGCCGCTGACGTTCTGCCTCTGCCGCAGCCTGCTGAGCCTCGGCGGTGGCTACGGCGTCTGTAAATGCCTGTAGCCGCCCACGATAGTCAGCCAAAGGCTCGCTGGCCTCTCGGGCCGGGCATGCGGGAAGATCTCCGGTGGTGTCTTGTACTGTCAATGCCGTACTTGATGCCGCTGGAGTCGTCCGTCTGCTGTATCTCTTGGGTCTTGGAGGTACCGCAGGGCGGGCATGTCCCACGTGGAGGCATCATGACAAGGAGTGAAAATGTTGTGGCCTTTTGGACACGTCAGCTTGACAAGCTGCTCACACTTCTGTTTGCTGTGATCCCTGTCGTGGCAGGCCTCTTCACACTGATGGATACCGCAAGAGAGAAGTTGCCGGCAAGGTATGTTGCACCCTCCATGGGGAGAGAGCGATTCAAAGGAGGACGGATCTTCGACAAGAAACTGGCGCCAGCTGTGTCTGGGACACTGGACCGGAAACCCCTTGAAGATTGCCTTCAGTTCTGTGAACATTTTAAGCAGCTTTTGCCACATTGCTGCTGCACCAGACAGAGATCTTGCATGCTCGAACGTCCATCTATTCCCAATCATGATCAGCGCATTGCGTGCTCGAGACAAGAGAACATTCACTCTCTGCGACTGACCAACAAACCCGAGTGAACCGTTCTCATTGCTCCGCACCAGTGAAACGATAACGATATCCGCTTCTTCTCCCTGGTAGTTATCTATCGTTGCAATACGAATCTGGTTGCTATCTTTCGTGCATTCTTCCCTACCTTGAAGGATACTGGAAGCATCAGAGAACGTGGATGTGGAGGAGGAAGAGGAGGAGGAGGATGGAACAGAAGGAGATTGTGGTTGCCCCTGTTTCTTGGACAGACCATGCTGAGTGAGCTCAGCAGCATTGAGATCGTTTATGAAAGTAGGGAAGACTTTAGAAAGCTTTTCCTGAATAGCATGAAGCTGAGCCAGATATGGCGTCAGCACAGCAATGTCCTCGTTCTTGTATCCCTGTCTGCGAATATGCTTCACAATGCCAACAACCCATTGAACCTCTTCCATGTTTGTCTTTGACAGCAAGTCGTCTGCTCGTCGTGAGCCCTCTAGGGCTTGCGAGTCACCCTCCTGGCCGTCGTGATCGATGAAAATGACGTTAGACCAAGATCCTTTCAGATCAGGTCTACTCTTGGTGCTGTCTGCATCCTTCAAGTCCGGATAGATCAGCTGTCTGATGAAGTCAGATATCTCTGGTCTCATCCTATGCTGCCACTGCAGCCGTACATGCGGGTAGCCCTTAGTGGCCAACCGTTCAAACAGGGACCTGTTTAAGGCATACGGCCCACCGCTCTCTACTTGCAGAGAGTATTGATTGATCTTTGGTCGTAGCTGCTCGTGATCACCAATCATTATCAGTTGCCTGCAGTTACGTGTCAAGCTCGACAGCACGTGCGGCTCGAGGATCTCTCCCGCTTCTTCCATGATAACCACACCTGCTCCAAGCCCCTGAAGCTCCCGGTGGTACTTTGCTGCACCAGTAGTTGTGCAACCAATGATGCGTGCCTTGTTGAAGTCGCGCCACGAGGCTGCTCGCTTATGCTCATTCAGCATCTCCCTCAACGGGTATAGACCTTGCAGCTCAGAAAACAGGGGTCTAATCAATAACTCTTCGATCAGTTCCTCGCGCCAGTTCTCGACCAGCTCTCTCCTTCACTCGACATTCATTGCCCAAAGTCCAAACACATCTTCAAACCCCTCCTCCTTGTCTAAGAGAACAACCAGTCCTCTGTCCTGACCAGCCACCCATCTGTCCCATAAGTACTTAGGTGGCAGAGGTTTTCCATCCCTGCCGACAATGGTCCCGGCCTCCTCACAGATGCATTGTTCAAACATTTGAAAGGATGTCGACGTTTGCAGTGCTGTTACACGTCCGGCCTCTGTCAGCATCTCAACTTTGTCCTCACCAACCCGTCTACTATTCATCAACCCCCCATATACCTTGCCAAATGCAGGATCTCGCTTCTCGTGCCTTGAGCCCCCCTGCATGTCCGCCCCCAGTGAGAACGGTCTGATCCGATCGCTGACTTTCACTCCTCCACCAATACGAAGGAACTCAGATCCAGATAAGCCGATGTTCAGCAAATCGGCAAGAAATTGGTCCAGTGCATGATTGGTGTAACATATACAGAGAATCGTTTCAGAGGAGAGATCATGGATGATCTTAGCAATAATGGAGCCGCAGAAAGATTTTCCTGTGCCCGGAGGGCCCTGAATGAGAGCCACGGGCATCTTTAGTGCACTTACGACTGCATCTTTCTGCCTCTCATCGAGAACCACGGCCTTTCGGAGATTCAACAGAGAAGAGACATCCTGACAAGCTGGCAGTTGTTCCAGGCATCGAATGAAGTCAGCGAAGGATTTATCCTGATAACTAAGTGGTTTTGCAGACTGGTCAGTTGCAGCACAGGAAGATTGGCAGGAGGAGGAGGAGGAGGAAGAAGAGGAGTTGTGGGAAGGAAGATGTGACCATTCAAGCAAAGCCTCTTTGAAAGGGTGCATATGCGAAGAACGAAGCTGACAGCTGGTAGGCTTTGAGGCCGACACGAGGCTTCCCCAATTCCAGAACGGTCTGCTTAGAGGCCTGTTCATCCGGAAAAGATACAATAACAGAAGGAGGATCTTCAAAAAGCCTGTTAGACTGGGCATCTTCAGAAAGCCTGTTAGACTGGGCATCTTCAAAAAGCCTGTTAGACTGGGCATCTCCAAAAAGCCTAGCAGACGGGGAATCTCTACTGCTGATCACACCCAGTCGGATTAGTTTGTCATTCTCAACAAACGCAAGAAGGGACTCGCGTTGCAGAAATTTGCTGTTCTTTCTCCAGAAACGCTCTGTCACCGCCTTCCTTTGATCGCGGAATTGTGAACGCTTCTTGTTTATCTCATGCTCTAGACTCTGCACTTCTGTTCCCTGGTGGGAACTATGTCCACTTCCCTGCTGGGACAGATGGTCTGCTCGTCGTTGCTCCATAGATGCAGTCTTAGAGGCCCGGTTTCCACCATGCTTCCTATTTTCCATCGTAATTTTCAATCCTTCGATCGCCTGATCCTCTGCTTGATACAGCTCCCTGAAAACCATAGAAAAGCCGAATGGTGGGAGATAAGAAGGGGTCGAGGACGTGAAAGGAGGAATGCAGACACTGCCAAACTTCAGGACTTCAACCGATCGTTCCTCGAGACGTTGACGAACTTTACGCTGCAGGGCTGTCAAGTGCTGCTGTTGCTGCTTCTCCCACTTCTTTGTGTCAGATTCCGCCACCCTGGACTCAGAAGTAGCGGAAACCAGAACCTGAATCTCCTCCCGGACAACAGAGATGGCATCTTCTCTCAGAAGGTGGAAGGACCAATCCAAGTACCGGCTGTCATTGGATGCTCCATCTGAAAAGACCTCCTCAGTGAGAGGAAGGTACGGATCATCGGTGCACATTACCTCATCCACTGAAGGATAAACTCGGATGTCCCTGTAGTCTTCAAGGTCATTGCTATGGCGTCCTCCAGGAGAGCACTGAATGGGGAGGATCGTCATTGTTCTCTCCATTGATGCCGTGCCGCGACTTCCACGCTGACCATCATTACCCTCGCCATCGACCAGCTACTGAAGCTGTTGGCCAACCTTGATCATGATAACATCGCTGTCTTGGCCAATCTTCAGGTTGAAGGTTGTTAGCCCACTCCATTCTTTTTTCTTTTCTTGACTACTACCGCCAGATCGAGTCAGAAAAAAGCTGGCAAGCTGCTGAGCTTGACGACGAGTTGTATCATCCTTAAGAGAGCATTTTGCTATGTTGTCACCGGCTGTCAGGATCTGCAGGAGAAGGCATCCGACGGCTACTGGCTGTTGCAGTTGGTCGGCTATGGCGGCTTCGACAAGAGTGCTCCATAGGAGGAACGGCGCTTGGTAAACGGCTTGCAGGAGTGAGAGTAGGAACGTCCCACGGGAGCCGAGTTGCAGTTGTGGATCGTTGAGAAAGAAGGAGATAAATGGGACGACCAGTTCGTTCAAGCACTCGACGGATTTCGTGTCGAACGACAGCGCTTCCTGAACCCCTTTCAGACCATACTTGCTAGTCGTCAAGCGACTTAACATTGTTGCAGCATCGTCAGATTGCAATACGGCTTTGATAAACCAGCGAGCCTCGTGTGCACTCTCGATGAGAGCAGTTCCTCGCTTGCCACCGGACTTCAAACCCTTGTCAATCAATTGGAAGAACTTTCCTGGGACACAATGCAGCAACCTCACCGGCTCTTCATCAGTCTCACTCGAAGACGATTCCGTGATGGAAATAACTGACCCCCTCAATCCGGTCCACCCCTTCCTTCCTGCCATCCCTGGTCGTCCTGCTGCAAACATAGTACTCGCAATGGAATCAAGGCTGCCTCCTGAATCAAGGCCCGTAGGACTGCTAGCGGCTGTGCGAGAGATATAAGGCTAGTATCTGTCCTCAGACTGCTGATTCTGCAAACCTGAGGGGGGAAAAAACAACTTTAAAAAAGCTCCACGAAGTTGTTAAGCTGACCCTATAAAGTATCAGCGAGCAAGAGAATACTGACCCTCGCTGCTTGGGAAACCTTGTCGTCCAATTTGTACTAGTTCATGCACTCAGCCAATTCTTAACTTCCACCTTGACGGCCTCACCCAAGAGCACATCAAACGTGCATCTGATTTATGCAGTCAATTAACCCACCAATCAACCAATCAGTCCCCTCATCAGTGAACCAATCAATCAATCAATCAATCAAACAACCAAAATAATGCATCAAGGTAATCAATATATCATAATTTAACCAGTCAATCAGTCAATGCATCCTTGCAGTTCTTCCACCATCCATGAAGGCAATCAATAGATCCTAAACCGTTCTAACAGTTAGACCAGAAGCAGTTTGGCGGATGACACAAATGAAACTCAATAAAAAAATAATGTATAAACAAAATAAACACAAAGGAGAACTCGCCTATAATCAGTTGTGGACTAGGATACCAGCCAGGCCGCCCGGGTCACCCTGTTTTCCCGGGCAGCCCGGCCGTGTGAGGACCAGAGAAGGTCCCAGCAAAAAGAAAGAAAGAGAAACAAAATCCAAAATATCCGGAAAAAAAACCTATGTTATGCAGAAAAATAAACTCACATAGAAATTCGTTACCAAATTTTAAATAAAGTTATTTTTCTTATTTGTTCTTGGCCCGGCCAGGCAAGTGGTCTTGGGCCACTCTGGTAGCCTAGGTTGTGCAGAATTACCTATTCTTCGCTTTTTATTTTTTTGTTTAATAATGCGATGTGTCATTTCACATTGCGTTTCATTTTCTTTTTTGAAGTCGATGATTTTGTGCGTACTATGACCAGTAAGTGGCTTTTGAGTTTCTGTCTTCTCTCTCTCTCTCTCTCTCTCTCTCTCTCTCTCTCTCTCTCTCTCTCTCTCTCTCTCTCTCTCTCTCTCTCTCTCTNCTCTCTCTCTCTCTCTCTCTCTCTCTCTCTCTCTCTCTCTCTCTCTCTCTCTCTGTTACATCTTCGACGCCACATGGGTCCTACCGGACCCGACTTAGGGCTAGAGGGACACAGCAGGGCCTAAAGGCCCGACCTTGGGGTACTACAGGCCATAAAGGCCTCACCTTGGACCAGACCCGGCGGGCAGGCCCAAACGACATTACCGTTTGGGCCTGGCGGCGCTCTTGAGGCTGCCGCCCGTCGGTTGGGGCTGAACCGTCCATCTGGACGGTTCAGGGCACGGCCAGGCCTCGCAGCAGTGAGGCCGGCCTCTGCCCACCGGTATAAAGAACCGGTCCGGCCTCACTTCGAGGCATCGACCTACCGGCATTCTACCGGTACGGTATGGTACAGCGCGAGACAGCGCTGGCGCTAAGTTTAGCGCAGGAGAAGCGAGGAGCGGCAGCACAGCATTAGCGCAGCAGCGAGCGAGCAGCAGCGAGCGAGCAGCAGCAGCGGCGACTGGGTGTGCCGGCGGCCATAGCCGCCTGAGGTATCGGGGTTGGAGGCCTCTCTCCTCCCTCCCCTCGCCAGTCCCCTCTCTCTCTCTCTCTCCTCCTCAGCTCCTTCTTCTTCTTCTTCTTCTTCTTCTTCTTCTTCTTCCCCTCTTCAGACTCCATCTTTTCCTTCTTCTTCTTCAGATTGGAGACTTATACTAGTTGGACAGAGATCAGTATTGGACTTCGGTGGTATGAGACTGTGGTACTTACCGGATTGGAGACTTGGAGATTGTTGGGGTTGATACTCGGCTGCATCACAGTTCGGACACCGGTTACATTTGGACTCTGTACCTCCGACATTGGTGACCTATTGTCCTCGACATTTTGATCTTGTTGGATGACATTTTGGACTACCATATCGGTGACCTATCGGATTCTATCTCGGTGACCTTCGGTGCTGTCTACCTCCCCCCACCTCCTTCGTCTCTCCTCCCACCTCTCATCTGTGTATGCGTGTACGAGGTCTGGGCATCGTCTATGCTTGGCCCAGACCCCACCATCTCACGATTGTATGTGTGTGGAGTGATTCTTGAGTCAGTCCGTGTGAGTCAGTCCGTGTGAGTCAGTCTATGTGAGTCAGTCCGTTTATCAGACTTCCACTGCATATATGCTCATCCTACATTGGTTGATCTTTGGTTCTGCCCATACTCATTGAATTATGTAACAGTTTTGGTATCGGAGCAGACCAATAACGGATCTGCTCACCAGGTAAGTCCGTTTAAAATTAGATTATTTTGTTTGATCTTCTAAATCGGCGCTGAATTATTATCAAGATTAAAGTTGCAAAATTTCTTTTTTTTCGGTCTTCTGGTTATTTCGGCTTTCCGTTTCAATTCAGTATTCGGACTTATTATTCGGATTTCTGTTTTATGCCGGTACGCTGTTTAATTAGATCCGAGAAATTGATACTAATCCAACATTCTGTTTGATTCGGATTTCTGGTTAGTAATTCGTAATTAGGGTTGAAYCARKATCATGGTTGAAATTCGGCTTTTCTGATTTCCATTCAGCATTCCGTTTTCGGCATTCTGTTGTAAATCCTATATTTCGTTTTTCTTTTGGGATTTCCGTTGTCTTTCAGTATTGGAAATTAGGGTTACGAAATCTTTGTTTTTTTTTTATCAACTGGGGAAATTCGAACGTTTTGGGACHGTAAATCCGGAAATTTCGCGGAAACGCAGAAAATTAGGGTTGGGACCGAAATTTTCGCGAATTTTTTTTTTCGTTCCCCTTGTTGGAGAAATTCCGAAAATAGGGTTAGACCTTTAAAAACCGGATTTTGACGGTGGGAACTCCCAAAAATTCACGTTTTTGAAAATTCGAGCGTTTTTCTTTTGAAATTTGCCGAAATTTCTTCAAGCACACTAATATGTATTTGACCCTCAAATCGCAACTTCCGGGTAGTTCACTCATTAACGGTGAACTCCCGGACTCAAGTGATCTGAAAGAGACCTAATCATAACACCATTATTTCGTTATTTATCATCAATTAATTTTACTGATTAAATCGTTATTAAATTCTTATTACGAATTTTGGAGTGATTTACAGAAATTTATTTTTCTGTTTGATTAGGTGTCTACAGTCCATCAGTGGGACAGGGGATTGTATGTATATTGCTTGATTGTTCTACCCCTGTTCCCACTCTCCCTACCCCCCTGTATTCTGTGAACACCGGCACCTCTCAAGTACCGCATCAGTTCAGACTGATGTCGATGGAACAGGACACCGGGGCACTGCCACGGCGCAGTGCCAGGATCTTCGACGTGTGAGGACTGCCAAGCTCAAGATGAGAACAAGAAGCAACGACTTGAGAGAGAAGCCGAGCTTGCAGACAAAGAGAGGGCTTTGAAAAAGAAGGTGATGGCGAAGAGGAAGAATATCGAGGACGAGAAGAAGAAGATTACTGATCTCTGTCTGCAAGAGAAGCACGACTGTAAGGTTATTCAGATGGATGCAGAGATAGAGATAACAAAGGTAAGGGTAGACCTCGAGAAACGGCTTGTCGAAGAGAATCTTAAGAAAGAAGCGCAAGAAACGAAACAGAGAGTTCAGGCTCAAATCTCCAAGCTTGAGAAGGCTGCTAACTTAATGGTCTCATTAGGGAAGTCATCGTCAAGTGTGAGCCCAAACAGAGGAGTGTTCCCCTCCAAGACAGGAGAGGTTCCTGCAGCAACGGGAACCAAGAGTGCAGGAGGAGGGGAAGAAGTAGGGGGGAGAGGAGAAGCAGATAGAGGAGAAGAGGAAGCAGCAGGCAGAAATGGCGGAACAGGAGAAGGAGGTGGAGGAGGGGGGGGAACAGCAGGCGGAGGAGAAAGCGAGAATGAAGATCCAACGAAAGACCTGGACGAAGTTGTGGTATTTGTTTCCAAGCCACTCGACGAGCAGGTGCAAGCTTTGTTTAACGAAAATGCAGCTGAATCATCATCCTCATCATCTTCGCCATCGCCTTTCAAGTGTAGTTTGTCAAATTGGCTTGGGATTGCGTCTACTGCAGGGGATGCACGAGATCTTTTGTCTGAGATTATTATGAAGCCTATTTCCCCCACTTTGAAGCCTGGAATTGAATATACCGAAGACGGAGAGAATGGTCATGGCTGGGTGTCCGGGTTTAGATACTTTGAGAAACTTCCTCTGAAGGAGAACAGTTCCGTGGATGACCAGATGCAGAAGACTCTGCTATGCTTCCTATGCAGATCTCAGGTAGGGGATTCATCTCTTAAGAAAGAAGTCAAAAGCTGGTTGCACCAACGAACAGCTTCACTGGCAGCTGGGTCCATCTACGGTCACCCTATTTTGTACAGCTTTTGCATGTCGACCCTGCTGGATGTTCTCTTTTCTGCAGACAGCAAAGATGATCTGACATTAAAGATCAAAATCTACGGTCTGACACTAGCGTTTGTTGCGATGGCTAGACAGAACAAAGGGGCAGTCCCTTCACTCTGGCTCAGAATGGGAACAGAGAGATTAGAACGGCTTGGTCCCGAGATCTGAGAATATGTAAGCCGTCCTGGACGGTCGCCGCATGAAAACCAAGTGGACGGACTGGAGAGCGAATTCCAAACAAAATGGGCTGAAGAGAAGGAAAGGAACGGAACAAAGAACAGAGGAATGGATGAACTTCTCAAGCTTGCTGGATTAGGCAAGCTTAAGATGGATCTCCTTAGCATTTTCAATGCCATCAGTCATGCTAAGCGCCAAGGGCGCTCGCTCAAGGAGAGCTGAACATCTGTCTGTGTGGAAATCCGGGCACAGGGAAGACCACGGTTGCTCGAATCTATGGGACTTTTCTGTTCGACCTGGAGGCCATTTCTGGTAGCTGTTTCATCGAAACAACAGGTGCCAAACTGATTCAGGATGGCATCCAAGGGTTGGAACAACTTTTGCAGCAGCTCGATGCTGAAGGAGGGGGGCTTTTGTTCGTTGACGAAGCCTATCAACTCAATCCCGAAGTGGAATTCAACGGCAGACGGGTGCTGGACTACCTGTTGACGGAGGCAGAAAATAAGATAGGCAAGCTGGCTGTGGCCTTTGCTGGGTACCAGAACAAGATCGAGAAGTTGCTCGAATACAACGAGGGCCTTCCGAGCAGATTTCCATACATGTTCGTCTTCGAAGACTTCTCCGACAAACAGTTGCATGACATCTTCCTGTCGAGTGTTCAGCAAGTGTTTCCGGAACATTGCCGTGCCGTTACAATCGAAGGGGGGCCAGAGGGAGGCCCAATGAAGATACTCATTCGACGGATAGGAAGGGGGAGGGGGAGAGTCGGGTTTGGCAATGCAAGGGCGGTGAAGAATGAGGTCGAGAGGGTGTTTGAGAGGCAAGCGACACGAGTGAAGAAGGAGAGGGACGAGGGTGGCAACCCCGACGACTTCTTCTTCACCAAAGAGGATCTACTGGGGCCGGATCCAACGGCGGCTCTTGCACGGTGCAAGGCATGGCAGAAGCTCAAGGGTATGATTGGCCTCAAGAAGGTGAAGGAGGAGGTGGAGAACCTCACGGAGCTTGTCAAGACTAACTTTGAGCTATAGAAGCAGCTGAAGCCACTGCATGAAATCACCCTTAACCGACTTTTCCTGGGCAGCCCAGGAACCGGCAAAACAACTGTGGCCAAGCTGTACGGAGAGATTCTCCGGGATCTCGGTTTCCTGAGCAACGGAGAAGTAGTTGTGAAGAAGCCGAGCGACTTCATAGGGTCAGTTATGGGAGAGTCGGAGAAGACAACACGTGGCATTCTCAACGCATGTGTCGGGAAGGTTCTGGTCATCGACGAGGCATATGGTTTATATGCCTCAGCCTCATCTTCATCCGGAAGCAGTGGGGCTGGAGGACATAGTGACATTTATCGGACGGCAGTCGTTGATACGATTGTAGGGGAGGTGCAGAACGTGCCTGGAGAAGACCGCTGCGTGCTGATGCTCGGATACCGAGAAGATATGGAGAGGATGATGGCCAATAGTAATCCTGGCCTGCAGCGACGCTTTTCCCTGGAGACGGCATTCGTGTTCGAAGATTTCTCCGTTGATGAACTGGTCAAGATCCTCAACTTGAAGATGTCCAAGCTGGAGTTGCAGAGCTCTTTCGAGGCTCAGCAATGTGCAGGGGAGGTCCTTGCCAAGCGAAAGCGGCTGAAGAACTTCGGCAATGGCGGCGAAGTCGACAATCTGCTCACAGCTGCCTTGAAGAGGATGGAGTCCAGACTTAAACACCTTCCTGCAGATCAGCGGGTGCGCATGAGCCAGCACATCTTGCCCACAGATTTCGACCCTGATTGGGAGTGCGGCTCAGGAGGTGCAGGGATGCAGGTTCTGAAGCTGCCACGGGTGGAAGACCTCTTCTCCGATCTCATGTCCTGTGACCATCTTGTTGATCAGATGTTGGGGTACCAGAGCGACATGGACCTTGCCCGTCAACGTGGAAGGGACCCACTGCAGCAGATCCCGATGAACTTCTGTTTCGTGGGACCACCAGGGACTGGCAAGACGACAGTTGCCAGAAGAATGGGCAAGTTCATGAGAGGTCTGGGTGTGCTTGGCTCTGATGAAGTTGTGGAGACCTCCGGGGCATCTTTCCTTGGACAGTACGTGGGTCAAACGGGTCCCAAGGTGATAGCCATGCTGGAGAAGGCCTTGGGGAAAGTGCTATTCATTGATGAAGCTTGCCAGCTCAATCCAATGGCTGGCGCAACTTCAGTGTATGCGAAGGAAGCAGTTGACGAGCTTGTCAATCAGCTAACGAAGCCTCAGTTCTATCGAAAGTTAGTGATTATCCTTGCCGGCTACGAAGATGCCATCGACTCTCTGTTGCGTTCAAATGACGGACTGAGGAGCCGGTTCTCCGAAACGGTTGTCTTCAGAAGTTTCACTGGTGAGCAGTGTGCACAGCTTTTCAAGAAGTTGCTTGCTTCTGATGGATTTGCAATCGAAGATGACGACCAGGAGTCTGACGAGGAGCTGAAGGAGCTTTTTACTAGGCTTGCTAAAACTCCAGCCTGGGGGAATGGAAGGGATATAAATAACATTGTGAAGAAGACGACTCAAAAATTTAGCAGGAGCATTGTCACAAAAGGTGGACACGGAGGAGATGGTGCAAAGGATGAGGCGTTTAGAGGAATCTGTGCGGGAAGCGTGCTGTCTATCCCGATGAAGATGATCCGAGAATGTTTGCACGTTGAGGAAGAGAAAAGGAGAAAGGGCCGCAGTGATCAACTGTACGCCCCTCATGGAATGACGTTAATCCACCCCCCTTTGGCTCTACAGGACATGAGTTGGAGAACTCCTGCTACCGCGACACTGTCGTTGACAAGTGCTGAGGATGTCGTTCAGATAACGACAGCCTCCTCATCTGAGCATAAGGTTGAAGAGATTCTAGAGGCCAAGGGATCGTTGAGAGAGGAGGTGGTGAAGCAGTTGCAACAGGGGGAGGGGGGGAAGGAGGAGGAAGAAAAACGGGAGTGGTTGACGTCTAGTCCAGGAAATGATGGGCAAGGAGGAGGAGGAGGAGGAGGAGTTGCAACAGTTGTGAGAGATGATGGCGTCACGGACCAAGTGTGGGGGGAGATTCAGCAGGCCATACTTCGAGAGGAAGCCGTCCGAGCCGCAGTGAAACGACAGGAGGAGATGGCGAAACAGGCGGAAATGGAGGCAAGAAGACTGGAAGAGCTTGCTAGAAGACTCAAGGAAGAGGAAGAGGAGAATAGGAAACAACAAGAGGCAGAGGAAGCAGCTCGCCGTGCACGTGAGAAAGCAGAGAAGGAACGGCGAGAGGCAGAAAGACTTGAAATGGTGCGCCAGAAAGAGGAGCAAGTGCTCAAGAAAATCCAACAAATGGGCGTTTGTTGTATGGGCTACCGATGGTTGAAGGTCGACAGCGGCTACAGATGTGCTGGAGGCTCGCACTACATGAGCAAAGCTGAAGCAGGGTTGTAATCTTTCCCTTTAATATCTGGTTTTGTATAAATCTACTGCCATTTGATTGCTTCTCTGATCGTCTGGTCATGGAATGACCTTGTAACTTACTATGATGTGACTTGCAGCAGCTGATCTAGAGATTGAGAGACATTATGGAGACTTAAATTTCCTAGGGGAGTCATGGGGAATGTGTTGTCCGACTACCGATAGAGTCTTACTCACGGTGTAGTGCATGCTTCGTCCTTCTTTGCCATCATGCTCTTCCGTACTTAGATTGCTTGCCTCTCTCTCTCTCTCTCTCTCTCTCTCCCTCTCTCTCTCTCTCTCTCTCTCTCTCTCTCTCTCTCTCTCTCTCTCTCTC